AGGGATATGGTCCATCTATGAAGGAAAGCCACAGTCAGTGAGCAGAGCTAGCCCGGAAGAGAAGTGCTGATTGGGTTTGTCAAGCTGATCTAAACTAGAGTCACTGGGAAGAGGGAACCTCAACTGAGCAATTTCCTCCATCAGACTGGCCTGTTACCATTTCTGTGTGACATTGTCTTGACTGTTGGTTAATGTGGAAGGGTCCAGCCAATGTGGGTGGTCCTACCCCAGGACTGATAGGACCGGGCTGTATAAACCAATAGCTGAGCAAGCTAGGGGAAGTGAGCCGGTAGCTGCGCTCCTCCACCCTTTCAGCTTCAGTTCCCGCCTCCAGGTTCTCCCTCGAGCTTCTTCCCTGGCCTTCGTCAATAATGATCTGTAATCTGTATGCTAAAATTAACTTTTTCTTCCTCCTAAAAATTAAAAACAAAAAAGAACCCAGACATATAAGCAAGCGGGTGAATGAAGGGAGGTCCTATGACAGTCGTGGCTCTGGGGAAGTACCAGAGTCTTGGTCCTGGCTGGGACCATAGTCCTGCGCATATGGCATTATAAGCTCAGAAGGAAGCCTGAGACCTGGGTGTTGATGTCTCAGCTCAGTGGCGCCACCTCCGTGTTCCCTAGCTGTAGACATAGTTTGTGTTTATATACAGTCTGATTGGTTGGTGCCCACACCACATTAGGCTCAGAATATTTTTACTATCACCCTCAGAACAACCATAAAGTTCTCAAAACCTTCCAGCCTTAGAGGGGACCAAAGACCTGGTGCCTTGCTGTCCTTCTCCTTCTCCTAGGTATATCCTGAGCCCTCCCTCAGTCTTTTTGTCTTAGAGTGTTCTGGGTCTCCTTATGTTGGCCACACAGGCTTCTGGGCAGCTGCCTGTACAGAACACTGAAGTCTCTGGGCAAGCCAGGACAGGTCTGGGTTTAGCTCCCTGCTGTAGTCATCAGTTCTCTACCTAAGTCTGGCAGGTCCTCTCGTTCCATTCTGCTCTCCTTCCCTCCCAGGCTCCACAGTAAGGTACTTCATGCATTTCCCTGACCTTGGACTTCTCCCCTCTTTCAGAACCATCTTTCCCCTCTGAAAGAAGAAGAGTGTGGTATGAGACTTCACAGTAACAGCTTCCAACAGCGCTCCAGGTTTCTGTCCTAAAGAACTTAGCAAAGGCAGTCGAGTCTAGTGCAAAGCCCAAAGGCCTGTATTCCTGACTCCAGACTGTCCTACCCCACAGTGCTTTGAGGACTAGGCAAAGGAACTGCTGCTCTGAGCCTCTGTGCCTTTGGTCAGATTGAAATACTGAACTCCCAGCAACTCAGAGTTTTGAGGAGGACAAATGTAATCCTGCATGTTGAGGGCAGCTAGGAATAAGCCCAGAACAGCAGCCTGTTAGGGGAAGGACCTCAGCCTTAACCCAGGTGAGGGATGGATGGGCCACGTGGGGCTGGGATATAGCTATGGTGTTGAGGAGTGCTTTCACAGAGGACGGACTCTCTGTATTAACTACTCCCTGCTTCTCTGGGGCCTGGAGAGCTGGCTCAGCGGTTAAGAACACTGGCTGTTCTTGCAGAAGACCAGCATCCAAATGGCACCTAACAACCGTCCATAACTCCAGTTCCAGGAGATCTGATGGCCTCTTCTGTCCTCCACAGGCACTGCACAACATGGGCGCACTTACACGCCAGCAAGCATAACACTCATACACATAAAAAAATTAAGAATAAGCCGGGTGTGGTGGCACATACCTTTAATTCCAGCAGAGGCAGGTGGATCTGTGGGAGTTCAAGGCCAGCCTCGTCTACATAGTGAGTTCCACGGAAGATGGAGCTCCAGGGAGACCCTGTCTCTAAAAAGATGATAGATAGATAGATAGATAGATAGATAGATAGATAGATAGAATTAAAATGGAAAAGAAAAGGTTTCTTTGATGAAGCTTGAGAAGCACTTATCCATGGCTCTAAACATAAGTAGAAAGTAGTTTGATATCATGATTATTCAGCAAAACAAAAGTAGTAGGCCTATGGCCTCTCTAGTAATGAAGTCTTAATAGGTTTACAGAACCAAGCATGGTTCTAATGTTCTAAGATTCTTCCCAGACTTTCCCAAACCTATTGTAGGTCAGGCCAGTTGGTGAAAGAGTCAGGGGATTTGAAGTTGCTCACCCAGAGGTAGAATGGAAAAGAAGCCTGTCCAATCAAAACATCACCATGTTTTGTGATGTTTTGCATTGAGTTCTGTTTTAAGGTATTCTTTCTTGCCTGGAAGCCTAGTTATGCGCCTCATGTGACCCTGGATGCTGAGGTTTTTTTTTTGGTCTTTTTGAGACAGGGTGTCCCTGTAGCCCCAGCTGGCCTGGCACTCACTATGTAGACCAGGCTGGCTTCAAACTCACAGAGATCCACCTGTCTCTGCCTCCTGAGTGCTGGGATTAAAAGCGTGGGTCACCATGCCCAGCAAGAGAATTTTTTTTTTTTTTTTAACAGAGTCTTATCCAGGCTGGCCTCAAACTCACAGAGATCCGCCTTCTTCTGCCTCCCCAGTGAGATCAAAGTCAGGTGCCATCATGCCTGCCTGAGAATTCACACTCTTTACTTCAGCAGGTAACAGGGCAGGCATGAATAGCCCTGACTTACAGGCAAGAATGCTAAAGCCAGAGAGATGGGTGAATTTCCTGGGAGCCCACAGAACGTTAGGAGCAGAACCAAGGCCACACTCCGGGACTCTGGGCCTTAGCACCTCTGCCTTGTACCTGAGCCACCACTACTGGCAGGAGCTCTCCTGCTGCTCTGTCTGAGGGTGGGTGAATGCTGAGCTCATCTCAGGAGTACTGAACATCACTGGCTGTATGATAATGGATCTGGAGGGTGCAGGGTGAGGACGGCTCCTCCCCTCCCAGTTTTAAGTTCTCTGTGTGGGAGGAGGCCACCAAGTAGGCAGCTGGAGGCCCATCAGTGACCCTGCTTTCCTGACAGTCAGCTTTGAGCAGTGGGGAGTCTAGCAAATGTCTCCTTAAGCTGGTGCTATGAAGCAACAGGGTAGACCCTTCCAACTTTCATGTACAGGCACCTGGCAGTGTAGAAGATCAGAACTTTCCCAGAAGGTGAAAGGCTGAAAGTTTACGCTGCATTTTCTCCCTACTCACTTAAGCCACTGGGGCAGGAGGAAGCCACGGGCGTCTCCTGACTTGGAGTTCTTATATTCAGAAGCCTGGTTTGGGGAAGCTGTATTTGGTCATCAGCATTTTAAAAAGCTTCTGTACTAGAACTTTCTCTTGGACACACACCATTAGAAAAAGCGAGATTAGATTATCAAGTGTAAGATCTGGTGACTTGAAAAACAGGAAATGGGTACAGCTGGCTCCTCCGGCTGGCACTGCCCTGTGGTACTAACTTCTGGGGTGCTTCTCACCTCGAGTGTGGATGGACGTTTATCAGTGGAATTGAGAGTCAGAGTCCTCCCTTCCCAGCTGGGCCTCAGAAGGATCCAGAAATGAACAACAACTGACAGTCCTGTTTGACCTGGCAATTTTGTCTGTGCCCAGCCCTGAAGGCTCAGCTGTGAGGCAGAAAGATCACTGGTGGGAAAAGCAGAGAGGGGTGAGCACTGGGGCATCTAACTGGCCAGACATAGGCCAGTTCCTCTATAAATGGATTTATGAAGTTAACTCCTGACTGGAAACAGACATTTCCATCAGAGGCAGTGTTACCTGCCCAGAATTGTAATAGAGGGTGGACCCAAGCCCTCCTATCATTTGGGAAAGTTATGCGCATGTGAGTGAGGGGTGGGCTACATTTGGACACACAATGGAGGAAAGACAGCATCTTCAACAAATGGTGCTGGCAAAACTGGATCTGTACCATTAGAAGAATGAAACTAGACCCTTGTCTTTCACCTCGCACAAAAGTCCAAATGGATTCTTTCCAGTGAGTAAGCAAGCAAGCAGACACATTTAGCTTGGAGAGAGGGTCTGACCTGGAGAGAGAAAGGGACTCCCTACCAAACAGTATTTTTTTCTAACTCTTGAATTGAGACGCAATTGCCTGGTCTGCCCTCTAATCTCTGTGAAGGTGAGCACTGCGAACTGTTTTCCCTATTAACCCTGGCCATCCAGTCTCACCCCGCATGCCTTCTTCCTTTCCCTAAATTCGCACCTTTCATTGGCCTATGAAGGACATATACACAGGTCATCTGCAGCCGTTTCCTGCAGGCACACTGGAATCACAACCTCTGTGTGGGGACGACTGCTTTAAGAACATAGCCTGCATCTTTGCAACTCCGTGTTTTTCTTGGAATCTGTTCATGGAGAAATTAGGTCTACAGAGTCCAAAGCTAATGTTCTCAGAGCTTTACAAACAAGCTGCACAAGCAAGGTGCAGGCAGCACCCTCCACTGAGCACTGCTTTGAGAGCTGAGACCAGCAGCCCATTCACCAGCTGGTGTGGCAGCACACAGCTCAGGTGTGACTATCGGCACCTTGGCTTTACCCCACCCACACTGGAGCGCACAGAAGTGTGTGGAGACCCAGAGAACGCTGAAAGTGTTTGTTATCTACTGTTGATTCATGATCACATTCCTAGCTCTCTGGAACTTCCCTCCACTTGAGGGGAATGTTTGGAACAGGAAAATAATTCTCAGGAAGTGAACGGTGGAGGGTTCCGGGCTACTTAGACCTCAGTTCCTGGGGCTAATGACAGGCAAGCTGTTTCTGCTGTTTCTGTGGGACCTTTGGTTTTAACTTGACGTTCCTGGACTGCCTTTGAATTAGTATGTGTGTCTGACTGAAGGGGTTGGTATTTACCCAAGCCACACTGATAAGTGCACATGTGTTTTTAATGTTTTGGCTTTCTATACACAGACATGTCAATGCGTGTGTGTGAGCACAGTGCTGTCAGCTGGACTGGGACTTGAGTAGGGTTTTTTTTTTTTTTTTTTTTAAGACATCGGAATTTATTCTTTTCAACAACTAAAGTGAATCAACACTATACTTTGGGGATACTAAAAGAGCTGTGAGCCAGGCTTCCCAGGAGAGAGTTGTGGAAGTGGTGGCATGGGCATGCTGATGGAACAGTGTCCTTTGTTCACATGGGGAGAAGGACAGCAGTCACTAGTCCATTCATCCTCAAGAACATCTTGTGTGGACGGAGGTTCAGAGTCAGAAGACCCCAAGAAGTGACCTCACTTCTTTAGTAACAATCCAAACAGAACTCAGAATCCTGGTTACCAGGTAACCACAGGCCAGTGGCAGCCTCAACTGCTTCACTTGTCTGGAGACTCTGGACATAGCAGGATGTTCTCTTGCTGTTTCCAGCCTTCTGGAGGCTCAGGCCCCAGGAGAGCCCAGAATAGGGGCCTTGGCCACCTTTGGAGACGTTGGGTGCGCCCTGTGGTCCAGTACCTCTGGCCATTTTACCACAGAAACACACAGGTGACACTGGCCATCCCATAGCAGGAAATCTTTCTAATCGCCCTGGTCCACCACAGTTCCTCCCTGGGTGTATGTTTTAGAGTGAAGACTGAGGCCGTTTCTCTACGATCACTTTTCATCTCAGTGTATGGCATTGCTCACTGAGGAGTTGGTTAGATTTCCCACATTTCAACCTTCCCTCCTTGGCCCCTCTGCTCAGGGTGAACAGGAGTCAGACTTCACTGTCGATGACCTCTGCAAGTTCAGGTCCAACATCCCAGGCTATTTGGAGAAGTTGGTGAGCTACCTGGCAAGTGCTGTGCAAACTGGGGACTTCCTGTTTGTCTGTACCTTCCTTGGCATCTTCCAAAGGTTCGGCACTACCTGGCAGGTGCTGGACCTGATAATGAAAAGGTGAGTGTTGGTGTCCAAGCCCAGGAGAACTCGAGCCTCCTGGTTGGGTTTTTGGTGGCTCTGCTCATCTCTGAGGCTGTTTTTTCTCAAATAGGCTGTTGTCAGGACCAAGGGAGAATTCACCCTCTCAGTGGTGGCACTGGACCTGGTGCTTAAGTGACCTGACCAGGAAAGGGAAAGGTGGACTCTAGGTTGTGACATTTGCCTCCTTTAGAAGCACTGTCAGGACCTGCCTTTGTAGCCTTTTGCTCAGTTTTTCTGCCACTTGTAAAGAAGTCTGTTATCAGGACTACGGGCAGATCTCCCTGGCAGTGCTGGTTCTGGGGCCGAACCTTCAAATTTGTCTGACTGAGATGGGGGGCATTTGCTTCCCCTTAAAAGCACTATGTCAAGCCCCATCTTTCTGAGGCCTTTGGGTAGTTTTTCTCCCATTTTTGGGAAAGGTTCCAGACCCCATCTGGGCTGTATGGGATAAATGTAGACAGACAAGGACACCCATGGCCTCACCAAGATGCCCTGTGTCAACTAAGAAACCAGGAAGGAACAGCTTGTGTTTACTCATTGCATGAAGGTCCTGCATCCTCTGCGACGGCAGGCTGATTTCCTGACCTTCAGCTTAGAGCTCAGAGACCAGCACAGACAAAACTCCTTGAACCCCAGCCACAGCTCCTATTTCTGTCCCAGATTCAGCCAGCCCTTCTAGATCTTCTGGAAGGTGGGGGACACATGGACTTGGGGGTGACATCCTTCTCTAATGATAGAGGTACGCATCCTTTGAGCCAGACAGTGAGGAGGATGAACAAACAAAGAAGTGAGTAGTGGGCCTGGGGTGAAGAGCTTTGGGTGAAGAGGGCGGTTAGCTCAAATCTGCAGACTGGTATTTGAGAGTGAGGTTTTGGGAAAGCCAAGTGCCTTGCACAGTCTTGAGATTTCCACAAGAGTGATAGTACCTGGGACTTCGCCTGCAGGGGTGAACAACAGATGTTGTCCGGACTCCTTGGTTCTTAGGAGTAAAGGGTAAGATGGCAACTAAGAGCCGGGCCCTGTGATACTCCATCCTCACCATAGCCCAGCCCAGCTGGCCTGTCTACTGGTGCCCTGGACAGAAAGTGTTGGGACCCCTGTACACTGGACCCCATATTCTATCCACCACGTCCTGCTGCTTTTGCCTTGTCTGCACGGGAACACTGCAGCATTGGCAAAGAGCAGCCAGGCTTCTAACTCTGCTCCATGCCAACCTGCCACAGCGCCATATGCTTCTTCCTGGGACTATGGATGGAAAAACGGCCAGGTGATTTTTCTGAGTCTCCAGACCTGGTCACTCTGAACCGGCTGATGAACTATGTGCAACTCAACATGCCTTCCTCAGCCCTGGCTGTCAAAATCCAAGAGCTCCTGTCATGTCTGGAGGACCAGGAGTCCAAGAAGGCAAAAAGGAGGAGGCTTCTGGTAGGTGCCTGAGAGGGTGGGAAGGAATTCTGAGTGGTTTCCAAGAGGGAGGTTCCAGGAGCTTCCCTTTGTCCTGAAACTGCATCTGGACCACAGGGAGCTAAGATTTCCTGTTGTGGGGACAGGGACTGGGGATTCTCTGGCAGGAAGAACATTTGTGTGCGTTTGGAAAGTATCAGGAGAAGACCCTCATCTTGGGGACACTTATTCCATGCCAAATCTCCATGCTTCTGACTTCTAAGGTGCCTCCCCTGACACCGTGTCTCTTTCTGTCCTTAGATTAGGGACCTTCCACAGCAGCAGTTTCTGAGCTCCCAGCACTGTATACATCGGGGATGTCAGAGACTGTGTATCCTAGGTCAGCTTCTGCAGGACAGCCTCAGGTAGAGCTGGCACTCTGAGAGGATCCTGTGGAACCTACGTTCGTGGAACCATGTATGTCAGCCAAGCCAACACAGATCCTTACTGTTCCATGTATAGAGCAGGATCTGGCCACAGCCACCGATACACAGCCACCTCCAGATGTAGATTCAGCTGTTTTAGCTCCCAGGCAGATGTTTCTCCCTCCTGTCTCACAAATAGGAGATCCAGAGCCTGTTTTCCGTTTGCCCAGGGTGGATATATAGTCTGGAAGTTTTAGAATCACCTTCTGATTTCCAGCCAGCACCAGCTCCACAGCTGAGGTGTTTCCCATCTCCAGCAAAAATATCTCCTTTAGGTTTTGTTGCTTTGTTTATTTGGTTTTATTAATGTTAGTCTGTTTTGATTGTTGGACTTTTAGATATTAAGATTATTAAAGTTTTATTGTTCGCTTGTTTTAAACTGCATGGTTTCATGGCATGATGTCTACCGCATGTGGTTTAACTCTAGCATGTCTACCTGCTGACTGCAGTCTCAAGCCGAGCACTTGGGTCATTGTAAGTGTGGGCACCAGTGGGCCTCCCTCCTACAGCCAGGACCGTTGTGATCTCCTGGTGGTGGCCCAAGATCTTGAGTAGGGTTTTTAAACTATAGTTTAAAATTTTAAACTGTCCTCAGACACACATCTTATGAGCAGTATCTTCGCCTACTGAGTCACGTCCACCTTCTCTCTCCGATTAAAGGCCACCACTGGGTGTTTCCACCTGGAAGGACATCGGCACAGAAACAACACTTTGTCCTAGTTTCTGCCAAAGCCCGGCAGGACTCAGTGGGGATTTAAAGGTGACTTGGTTAGGTTTGGCCTGCCCATCCGTGTAGCTGAGTAGCAGCCTGCCTCTGTGCAGGGGCAAGAAATTAAACCGCGGCGAGGAGCTGTTGGTCTGACGAGCTGCTGCTTGCGGTTAGGAAAAAGCGTAGAAAAAGTTTGCATAACTTTATACATTTGTAAGTACTGTGGAGATTCCTCGCTTTTCTAAAAAAGGACTCGAGTAAATCACAGCATCGGACTTCCCGTCTACCCACCCCACAGTGGCAACTGCCCCATCTCCCTGCCTCTTCCTTTGGAGTCCTCGCTTCTTTCTCAGTTTTGCTTTTTAAGGGGGTGTTGACCTGGGTCTCGCTCTAGGAGCCGATCCCTCCGGCCAGCTCGGCGA